ACACTGGTAGATTTAAACTCAATAAATCAAACATTAACTGTCAAACTTGAATATTTCCAATTATTCAGAGTAAATATTAGTCGACTAGAACTAATTACTAGAACGTGATTTTTTTTTAAAAAAAATAATCTAATCCATGATCTCTGATCTATGAACCTTGGTGATTAAATCAATCGAAAAACTCACAACAATTAATAAAATCAATGATGTTTTACTCATCACAAGAATGTAATTTGGAGAGAGAGAGAGAGAGAGAGAGAGAGAAAGAGAAAGAAAAAGAGAAACAGAGAAAGAAAGAAAAAACAATATTTAGTTTTATACATTCAATCAAGTTGATTTTTTGGTGAAAATATATGTATACGAACCAAGTACTTTACTTCTTGTAAAATTGTATCTATGTAAGTAGTTAATCATTTCAATACATAAAAATGTATATATCAGTATAATGTGTGCTTGTGTATAAAACATTCTTTAATTGAATAACAAATATGTATTCATGATCAAAATGATTGAAAATCATATTGTTGCTAGTCTATTTATAGAGTTATTTTATATATTTTTAGCCATAATATTTGAGCATACATGCATATATGTGTGATTTTGTTAATTCGTTGTAATACTTACTTTTTTTATTTTTTATTTCAACACATACATAATGGTATAAAGAGGCACCAAATACATATGCGCCACACAAATCTCATTCGATATGTGTGAGGGCTGTGATACTGCCCGGGTGCCCAAACTGAAGCAGGTGGTTTTCTTAGGGGGCTTACTTAGTACTATTCTAGTCATATATATATGTGTATATATATATACCAGTAAAAGTCGTAGAGGAGGGTATCAAATATAGAGATGTATCAAGAAAAAAGAACCAATACACAGGATAAAAAGTATTGTTTTGAACTAAATTGCATCAAGACTGATAAATTTAAAAGGAATTAAACATCATTATTTTAGCCTAGTTTGGTACTGTGTAATTAACGAGTAACCATGAAGATGATGGTGCCATATTACATTTTGAATGAGCTTGAAAATGTGGATCGCTGGATTGTGATTTTTGTAGTTTATATCATTGACTGACCTAACGTATGGTGCAACTGAAAAACATCAGAAAGCACAGGGAAGATGTTTCGTCCTAGTACAGGACCCCTGGTATAGTAGTGGCTTAATGATTAAAGTATTCGATTTTTGATCACTATGCCCCGGGTTCTAAATCCGCTCCATTTATTCCAACTAGGGTAACCGGATAGCATTATTATTGCCCACATTTATAGTATGGCTTATACACAGGTACTAGTGGAGTTAGTTAATTTAAATTTAGAAAATCTGATGGGACTTCTTAACAGTACGCACCAGCAACTGAACCGTAAATCGAACTCAGGACAGTGAGCGCCTGACCTTTAATCACTGAAGTGTCATACAACAACTTTGATTTTCTGACCCAATAGCATCATCCTTACTGCAGTTAGATCATGGCAATATCGTCCATGTACATTACTGAGTTATTCAAAACTAAGACAAAACAGCTATTCAGCACTCCTCTGATTCTTAATAATTTACCAGTTGGTATATGTGTGCAATAAAAATTAACATCAAATTGAAATAAGCGCCATAAATTTCTTAACTTTGAATTAATATCATTAAATCAAGGTTAACTAAAGCCGATCTGTGTACAGTCAACTACTAGCCAACAAAATTGGCATCAAATATGTCTATTCAGAATACAAACTATGTGAATGAAAAAAGTATGCAATGGTCAATAAAAAAAGCTCAGTGTACAAGTCTATCTAATAAATGTAAGGAGTACAAACCACACATACAAACATAGGAAGTGAGATATGTGTACAAGCTGAATTATAGGTCACATACCCTAATTGGGGATAAATAATTATATCTTAATTAAATAGTAATAATAATAATAATAATGGTAATAGTAATAAATTTACTGTAATTAATCCTAATAACATGAATGTAGGTGAATCAAGTAACAGCTATTATGTATCTATCTGTTAACTGAACATCGGATAAGCGGAACAAAGCTTATCCATCTATATTGACCATAAAGTACTTTTAAACGAGAATAACGTTGTATATTTCACTTATGACTCCTCACAGAACTCAACATTATGCCTTTTGTCCTGTTTGAGACTGGTCAGTTAAGTGTATCTATTCATATCTGTGATGTTGACATTAAAACTCAAGCCCAGTGAGTAGGACTTCCCTAGCAGTGGCTGTATACGTCAGCTTTTCACATGTGAAACTTAATTGATACAGTTTTAAAAAGAAACGGGGTTCGAATTCACCAACACACTAATTGCAATCCAAACTACACTAAGCCATTACATCTGAGTTAGTTTCCACAAGACTAGAATAAAACAGATCAAACTAAAATAAACTAATTATTACTTTATTGTATTCTATGTATTTAGAAGGACAGACAGATAGTCACGTACAAAAATGTATTCTCTGAAAATTTACCGATTATTTATAAAAATCTAAAACAATCTGTCTGATGTTGTGTCCATTCCAATAATTTGATACGGATTAAATATGGCGGGCGCCTATAGATGATGTATACTCATAGTGTCACTACTAATAATATTACTACTGATTGTGTAAACAACTCGGAAAATACAATAATTTCTACAACCTATCACGGAGAAATTTTTATTCTTTAGTTTATTTTAAAATATACGATCTCAACAGAGGGACAAAATAAAGAACTAGTGTTAACGCAGACATATACAAAGAAAGAGCATAGATATGTATGTCGTGTTATTAATTATATAATCACTAGTGGCAGTATTAATGGAAAATTAGTGTTTTGAAATAAACCCGATATAAGTTAATGATTTTTGTTAAGTATATCTATATTATGTGGTGTGTATTTGTGTGTTATAAAATATTACTAGTCTTAAACTGGCAATAAATATAGTTTAAAGAACAATCATATCCTAATAAGTTGGTCAAATAAGGTACCTGATAACTTATTTACCAAACACATACAGGTTTATGTAATCGGGTTTAAGTTACAATTCTTTGTATGTAGACTAATGATATTACTTAGGACTTCCAAAGCGAGTCAAATATAGAATGATTTGAACCTGAGACTTATTGATTGTAATTCGAGGTTTAAAAATTTCCCAACGACTGATAGAACTAGAATAATGATTGGGATAGAGGGCACAACAGTCCGCAGTGCAAACTGATGAATAAATGTAACCAGTGTCTCAAGAACCATATTCAGTAGGTAGCATACAACCTCGCAAACGACTAGGACTATCAGTCAACAATCTCACAGAATTTTCATTATGATATAATACATTCATCAATGACATGGTTCTGTCGTCTATGTCAGATCATGCTTTTGTTAGTGAGGGGAATTCATACTATCAGGGCTGCTCAGACTGTGGTAGGTGGAGCAAGCATCGAATTCGTAACCAGGTAGTTCAAAGATGAGTGGCTTGCTTATTAGGTTACCACCTTGTAAAACTCAAAGGACTTTAAACTGGATACTATGTCTAGTAATATGTCACAGTTTAAAGTATCCATCAGTATAAACAATTTTTTACACATTGAAGGCTACGACTACTGAAAGAAACTTTCAATGGTTGTAAAAAAGTAAGAAGTATACCGTGAAAATTCCATATAAATGTCTTATCAATATGTCAGTAAATTTTTGTTGCCTGAATATTAACTATGATGTCATTTATAGTAAATATTTTTAAAAATCAATTTATTGCCTAACATAGGCGGTTAAAGTAGCCATCAAGAAGCACGTTAAACTTAATAAATTGTTTACCTTTCCTAAGAAAACTCGGGCTTCAGTGCTAATAAAGAGATCTCATCCACATTTTATCAATAAAATTAAAGAAATCCACCTTGGTTTTAGTTGGATATTCGGTGGAAGTTTTGTTGTGCTGATTAAAGCTGACAAATCGACCTTAGGATTTAAGTTGTTTTTCCTAGTTTTTCGACCTGCTATGAATTCTGTTTGAAGACGTTGCAGCTTACAATCAATCACAGTGATACAGATATATCAACTTTATATCTTTCCACCTAAATTCTGAGTTTTAATATTATTTCTGACGTTCTACTCCTCGACTCCCTCGTTTCTTTTGAAAAAGCATTCCCCAAGGAAGTGTTGAGTTAAGGTTTCACTAAAAAAATGAACACTCAAACCTATATACATCCAATTTCTGAGTAACGAGTATGGTTGGGAACAAATATGGATTTTACTCCTAGCATTTACAGAACGCTACAAGCCTTAATTTCGACTGATATGACTTGTGTACGTTCAAATCATGAAAAATAACCCTTTTCAGAGTTAAAACTAACAATGAAAGAGTTATTAATGGTGATACGAAATGTTTGGTTTCCGGAAAAAAATGTAAGAATTAACAAAATTATTCTTTGAAGAGAAACTCAAATGGCATGAATAAAAACTAGCTGATGAACGTAATTTAACAGCAAGCCATAAAATTGTGTATAGAAGTTTTGTTAAAAGTCGAGATGCGACTTGGTGCTCCAGACATTCGACTCTCAAACGGCAGATGGAAGACTGAAGTCAGTCAATCATAATGTTCAACATGTCACATAAGTGCAGTGGTTCCCACACAGCACAGCAAGATGGCATTATTGAGGCATTTCTCAGAGTAGCAGAACAAATGTCAATAGTAGAAGAAAAGACCAGGTATAAATGATATGAAAGATAGAATAAACTCGCAGAATAAGAAGAATCAGTATTTTGAGACAACCAGTGAATCCATCTCTGTGACTGTAGAAGATTCTGAGCCACATCATACTATTGGCAGATCTAAGCGTAACTTCAATTATTTCAGTTAAGACAATCACATATGGCTGCACATGACTAGACTTGATCACTGAGTGGCGAAACTACTTTAAATAATAATACTGTTTAATATAGATAAGTACCTCTCCAAATTTTGGACAAAGATATTCTAGTTATAATTTAAAATCCAAGCAAAAATGTAACTCACCATCTTGTGGAGATGTTTTAAGTAATCGACATAATCCTACAACTCCACCGTATTTTTCATTAAGATATTTAACAGCCTCCAATTTACGACAGTCCATTAATTTCTGTAGATCTTTAGGGGAAATTTCGAATGAATCTGCACCACCAGTACCAGTGGTGAGTGCAGTTCGTTCGTTTGCATTTGCGTCGCGCATAGTATTTGTTTAGTTTAAAATGTCTCTGATAATGAATTACTTCAGTGTTTTAGAAATATGACAAGAATGAAATATTCAGAAATCCGAACGTCTGTTATCCTGTTAAATAAAAATAAAACAAAGGTAAAGAAACCAATTCATTCTGGAAATAAAAAAGAAAAAATTATTATCTAACTGACTTATAGTACTTAATTAACTTGGAGTTCGTATTACATAATTTGTGACCGTTTTAAGAATGACACTTATGATCTACTAAGATGTAGAAGCTTTAAGAAAAATCAACAGCATAGTGGTAGCGAAAATACGCATTGTGTAGGAAGATAAGTTCTGTTAGTTTAAGAAATAATCGGAGTGAAATTTCTCCAGCAATTTAAGCTGAATTCAATAGACCAGACATGAGTATGCTTAATATCAACTAATAACCCTTATTCCGATTTTGTAAATAGTTAGTAATGATTTCAAGGATTCTCAGAAATAAACGATCAATAAAGAAGATACAGTTAAATAACCAGTCATTTCTGAGTGAACGACTCCACTTAGTGTTTGATTTTTACTTTATTTATGTTGCAGATTTAAAACAGAAACATAAAAACGACAGCTTAATGTTCACTAATCACTAGTTATTATTGTGTTAACCAAAACATAACATGCAATATGACATATATTCAATAAATTTTGAACATAGAAACATTTGCACTTGTTCATAAATACGAAGCGTCAGTTCCGTTACGTTTTATACCATACATATATCACATGCGAGAAATACAAAGAGACGTTCTTTAAAACAACTGCTAAATTACTGCATGAAACAATCAGGCAAACGATGAAGAATCTGGAACAAAACTGTCAGTTAGGAGTACAATAACCCGAGTTTGTTTCCAAACGGTTGGCATGAAGAATGAAATATTAGTATAAGCTTACTAAAAATTAATTCCAAGTAAACCTTGTCTAAATGTTTGGTCAGACAGTACATTTTACCTCGTCACCACACTAGTTGCCTCAATAGCTTATGACGAGTGTTTCGCCCAGTTTAACAAAAGATGAGTTCCAAAGGAACTGTTATAGAGTAACATTGAATAGAATAAGACTTTTAAAAAAGCACTATTTAACATCAATGTAACCAGTGTACAACTATTTTGGAATCAAGAATTAGGTTATTTGCATTACGAACATAACACATTTTTTTCAACCGAGAAATAAGCTTAAAACTTAATATCAAGTTTTGTCTAGGATAGCAAATAATAATTTAGCATAAGTTATCACTATCATCTAACCATAAGTCAGACTATATTGTCAGTGGTAGAACTTAGAAAAATATGATTCTAAACGAAATAATCAACCTTAACAGATTTATTACAAATCAATAAATCGAACACCGTCCGAGTTACGGTTCATTTAAATCGAGGATATTCAAAATACAAGTAGTTTTCTCGAATATACGTGAACCGATAAGTAGGTGGTAAAAAACCACATGTAAGACAGGCGATTTGAGGGGCAACCGAAATATATAGGATACTTTTCAAGATATGTGGCAAAATTTCATCTACTACACACACAGAAAATATTAATTTGGCCGTTACTAAAAGAGCCTTTTAGAATAAATCCGAGCGGCAAATTTAAAAGCACACTTGCCATCTATATGAAATACAAAAATAGTCCTGAAATAGTTTAAAAAACGCACAACCACGGAAACGACACACTACCCACATACATTGAACGGAAAACCGACTTGTTTTGAGCGCAAAGTCAACAACGAGTATTCTTGAAACATAGAAACAAATGAGACAGTGTCCAACCTGAAGCTAATAACAGAATAGAATATCGGAGTGAAAGATATGGGTAATATGATTGCAATTGAAGACTGCTTTTTCTTTATCCTAATTGCTCCATAAGTCAACCCAATTTTTTGTTTCATGAGCATTAGTCATCAATAGTACGGATGAGAGGTCAGACGACCTATATTATTACTTTGAATTTACAGGACTGTAAAGATTCAATCTGTATTTAATTGTGTTTCACAGATATTCGCGTATTACATGTTACAGTAGAGAATTCCACCGATACTACTCGGAATTACAGACGTAAGCGATTTGATCTCAGTTTTTGAAATTTCGCAGAATGTCCTCTTAGATGGACAGTCCTGCATAAAAGAGAGAAATAAGACAAATCGATAACCAACTGACGCTCAGAATACGGTGAGCCAATACTAGACCACCTCGTACCCTGCGGAAAAATAGTGGAAATATGTTGAGACTTCTCACTCTATCTTCATAAGATAGACCACACAGAACTTTTACCATTTTGGTTCCTCGCCATTGAAACCATCCTATAGTATAGTAAGGTACCATAAATGTTTCTTCGTCCAAATTGTGAAAAGACTTACTAATGACCCGAAACGCCTTGAAGTTCTTGGCAGCGACAGCCTGACAGTTACACTTAGTTATGACGTTGGTTATGACTCATTGATCTTTATAGTCCACTACTTTAGGTAACATGACCACACTTTTTGTGTATAATATGAATCATCGCAGTTATTTATTCGCATCGCAACTCTCTTGTTGGAGTTAACTTTTATTGACTAACCACAGTTCTGTTCAGCTAGTGATTTTAGGTCATCCTGTAATATTATTCTACCTGAACTACTGTGTATGGGTTTTCAAATGTTTTTTCATTTGCAAAAAGTAGAACAGATGACACGGCTACATTTTTTAAATCATAGATAAAAAATCAAAAAGACGGCCGTGGATTGTACTCTGAGGAACTTTATACAGATTTCTAGATTGATGGAACCCCATTTATGAAAATCATGAAACACGGAATATCCATACCTTTCGCTGCAACCTAATGTTCTCGTGTAATGAGCAGATTTGCCAATCATGTTAGACTTTTCCTAAAATCGTGTTGTTCCCTGGACAAAATGTTATATACTGCCGTATAGTTTAGAATAGCCATGTGAATAATCTTTTCCATAGGTTGACAATTATACTGATCAGACTATCACGTCGATGGTTATTAGGTCTCCTTAGCCTGCTTTATAGTTGACTGAATATCGCGTCATTTCAGACTCTTAGCAGTCTTAACCGCTACGAAGACATACCAGATAGTATCGACAGGGGTTCATCGGTTACATCCAGCACGGATTTCATAGTGGATGTAGTCAGGACCGCAAGACATATCTGGTTTCATTTGCTGAAGTAATTGTAATGTAGTCTTTTTACTGGTAACCTCAGAATCGGTTGACAAGCCGCCATTACCACAACTAATCGATAATCTTTCATTGTTGTCAATAAGAAACACTTTATTAAAATGTTCTGATAATACTTTGGCTTTAACAACATCATTTCTTGCCAGTATGAACGAGTTTACTCGAAGTCAAAGTGGTGGGATTCCATCACCTTGATTGAGCCTCTTTATTTATTATTGACTAAATTCAGAATCCCTTCGTATGATTCTAGCCTTGCATATTAATGCCATGAAAACATTCTAGACCTTGAAGCAAGTAAATATGTTCAGAGCATGTGGGGACAAACATGCTTTAACGCATTTTCTCACATCTGAGAAATTTTACAAACTCTTTAGGTATCCATGTTCGTTAGTTAATTGGTCTACAGAAGAACAAGCACGACTTAAGTGTTGATGTAACCAAGTGTACCTTTAAATATGAACTGTACTACTTCAAATGATGGGCTGGTATTTGCTGACCACTCCGTTGTCGCAGTATATTCCTCTATGGCTACCATGTTTGCCCTTCACACATTTAACCTAGGCCTAATGTGAACGTCTCTCATGTCACAGGCTCTAAACGTGAACGAATAAAGCATGATCGTTATTTAACAACAATGGGAGAACAGATAGACAGGCAATATCTTATGCTTAGATGAGTGGTTTTGATCTGTCCACTAACAATCCTATTTCATGGAATTTACCTCCTAGTCTACGACCATAAACTCCATAAATTGAACAACATATGCACCCAACTACTCGAAAACCTACTTAGCGGAGAATTTCTTCACCATTTTGGAGGTGTGTTTTAGTTCAGCTTGTGACACCTTGCTTTCCATTATATCTTCTAGAGACATATTATGCTTCACCCTTACTTCGGTGTTACTTTCACCTAGAACAGCAATAAACAAAAGATTTTGTTATTCAATTGAAGGTAGAATTCGTCGTTCTATCACCTGTTATTGCCGATATTTTTATCCCAACTTCAGTAAAGTTATTTGGGGAAATGTAACAAATGAATGATCTGAACTCTTCCAAATAGCGATTATGTCTTACATCTGGGTCAGGGTCGTTTGTCTCTAGCAATTTATCTACAATAATTTTGGAACTTTAACGGGGTATTCTGTGACAGAATGAGAGTCTGCGAAAGGCCTATAAACAAACCAAATATTATTTGTGGCTATTTCCTTCTCTCCGTTGTGTCCTAATTTTCATTTATTTCGCATCACCTGATACAGTCACGACGAGACTACTTTGAACGAAACCGTTGTTTCCGGATTTTCGCTTTGCACGCAAAATCCATGACCATCAACATCTACTGGAATTTCGCTCATCATTTGCCTCAAAGAAGATTTAACTTTCCCATTGTAATGTCTGATTTGAATGTTTTGTGTGTGAGTAAAAATCCCTCCATGTAAACACTTGCACTTGTTCCTATTAATCCTCTTAGTTGTACATTGTTAGTTTTTTGATTACATTCGAACTGTTAATGTTTGTATTTTTTATTATAGTTTTTATTTTTCTTACGTCTTCACTAAGTTCTTGTGTTTCTTCCCGAACTACATCTATGTTGTTTTACTTGATACTTGTTCTTGGCGGCAGCCATATTGATTTGCTCCTCCTTTTGCGTGTGTTCTATCCAGTCAGGATAGAATAGCGTTCATTTGTTGTGACTGGTAATTTTTCACGCATCTTTTATCAACTTCTTTATTTATTGTAATTTATATTTGAGTGATTGAAAAATTATTGGTTGAATAGCCGGGTGGTAATATTTGTTTTAGGTAACGATTACATTTAAATTTATGATGAATTATAGAACCGTCGTTTACCCGATTACTTGTTTTGATTTTGACGGGCAAGGGCGCGTGCCTAACCTACCTGAACGGTTATTCATCAGTCCCAACCGTAGTTTGGATTCTATAAATCCTTCACTGAATTTCGTTCGTGTAGGTTTATAATGATTATTTTATCCGCTGGATTTAGGATTGAGCAAGCTGTAATAACATGATAAAAACACCGCAGATACACCACAAATTTCGTTATTGGATATATGTTAAGCTTTGTTTTCAATTGATGTTAGCGACAACACTGAGTGCTCTGTCTTATTCAACCAGGCTCATTCAGCAGCCATTATTTACTCATAGAATACCCTATTACTTCCCAGTGGTAGTCACGGTTTATTGCTTGTTGTTCTAATTCTACTCCTTATTGTTGACCATAATAATCCTGTGTGCTCCACAGTTAGCAGTGTAAAGGCTGACGTCAATGCATTTGAGGTATATCAACCAACGATTTAATTTGTTTGAAGTGGAGTTCAGCGCACAGGTGCTTATATACCTGTTTTGGTTAAGTTTGATGATGTTCTTTTTCGTTGATTATTGTTTACGTGTCACATTTTTTAGGTCAGGGATAGTAAGTTAGCGAGAAGTATTACCGCTGTCCAGGTATACTTATATAATCTTTAACAAACGGAAACAGCTGCTATGCTCGAGCGGTCAAGACATGTGAATGTTGTAAACAAAATCGAATCTTGCCTGACCGTTTGTTCGATTTTGGTCTTTACAGCTGTTAAGTTATCTGGACAAAATCTACACTTGGCATCAGTGAAATTATCGACACAACCGTCGTATAAGAAATAACAACAATTTTCGGCCAAATTGACGTTTGTTTAAGTTCAAGGAATTTACATGAGGTAAGGCATCTAATCCGAGAGTGTTAGTTTTTAGACAACTTGATAAATCATATTCAGCAAAGCGGCAGACGTAAGTTGGTGCATCAAGTAGAATAAACGGGCAAGTTCGTATGACCTATGAACCTTGCCAGCTATCGATAATACCCTCGACGATCATATACTTCTTTTACTCCTCGTAATAGAGAAGAACAATCATTATGACACACACAAGCTTGCTTAAGTTCATTTCCTCATATTCAGGACCTATGAAAATCTACAGCGAACTAAGTATTATTCTACATGATTTCAGTCAGTTTTCCAATTTTGTTTATTGCTGGTGCTGATCGAAATCGGAACCATTTTAAATGCACTTATCAAGCATCTTGGTAATCCATTTTCTATGGTCGCGTGGTTATCAACCCAGCTACTTTATTTGGTTACATCGTTTGGTGTTTCATTGTGCAGAACTCTTACTAGTCACACAAAATTCGAAATATTAGTATGTAATTATTGTCGGTTCAACAACTGTTTTCAGAATTTTCATTTTAAAGTAGGTTTCTTACGTTTTTAAAGAATTAAGTTAACCCCATTCTTACAAGTCACTTATTACATTGGTGTAAAACGTTTTCAGTGCCAATCATAGTTTGTTTCCTCAACCCTTACTGCTACGTTTAAATTTTGAATCACGGTCACTCGATACGCTATTGACTTACGACACAAATAGCAAGAGAACCTATTGCCACTTTAGGTTGCAAAATTTTATTCTCAAATTACTAGAAACAATAATAAAAATAATTTTAAGGTAAAGTTCGGTATTTAGTTTTGTCGGACAAATTTTACGAA